TTCATGGCCCACAGCCAGGTCGCCTCGCCTGGCCACCTGGAAAGCCTTTTCCTTTTTCTGGTAGTACTAGCGTAATATGACTACTGGGAGGGTCCTTGTCCCTACTGTCACCCATGGGATACATCTTTTTCATTTTAACCCAAAGGAAACAGTACAAGTCTGGATATTATTAACCTCAGAATTGTTAGGTTTGTTCCAGATGGGAACTCAAAAAGTATGTATGGGACTGAATGCAGTTAATGGAAAACCGAGGTTTGCAAAACAAAAGCTGAAGGAGCCTGGAGAGTCCCCCAGGGTTGTAAACCTAACAGACAGCTGCAGCCAACATTCCTGTCCCCCCTGATAAGGACGGAACTCTCCCCTCCCTTATCTCTACAGGATGAGACAGACCCAGAGGTCCCAGAAATTGGTTGTTTAAGAAAAAAAAATTTTTATTGCAGAGGCTGTTCTGGCCCGGGTACTCACTCCCCCCTAAGAAACCCTCTAGAAAACCCAAGGCTTTCCCCTCCCTCAGTGTGGATGCTCTTTGGCTTCCACCCATCTGCACCCAGATGCCTGAAATAAACAGCATTTTGCTACACATGAGGCTTCGTGTGTCCCTCTGCCTCGGCTCCGGACCTAACAAGAATGATGGGTGCTTTATTCAAAAATCTATTTATTAAATATTTGACTTTTGATGCCTTAGTATGGGGCTCAGAGTCAAGCAGGTGGACTGAGTAAAATTAGTCTCATGGGTCTATGAAAAAAGGTCTGGCCAGTGAGTCCTTTCAAAGAGCCCCTTTAACTTAGTGGTCAGGCAGTAGGGGTTCCAGGGCACCATGATGCAGATAAGGAAAAAGACTATTCAAATGATTTGCTTGTCTGCCTAGATATAAAAGCTGGTCACTCGTGTGCCATTTATTGGGTTGGGGTGGGGGAGATGTCTTTTTATTTTAATTAGCTCTGTTGTGGGAGGCACCGAGAACGAAGTGATCTTGGAGCTCTCCAGCTGTTTTGGTCCTTGCTCAACCCCTGTATTAGTTTGCTAGGACTAGGGTAACAAAGGGCCTGAGTGGCTTAAACAACATAAATGTATTGCCTCACAGTTCTAGAGTCTAGAAGGCCAGGATGAAGGTGTTAGCAGGGTTGCTTCCTTCTGAGGAGTGTGAGAGAGAATCCGTTCCATGCCTTTCTCCTAGTTTCTGGTGGTTTGAGGCAATCTTTTATGTCCCTTGGAGTGTAGAAGCTCCACCCAATCCCTGCCTTCATCTTCACGTGGCATTCTCCTGTGCTCATGTCTTCACCCACATTTCTCCTTTGTATAAGGATATCAGTCATACCGGGTTAGGGTCACTCTCCAGCACGATCTCATCTTAATTTAACTAATTATACCTGCAACAACCCTGTTTCCACATAGAGTCACATTCTGAGGTACTGGGGGTTACGACATCAATGTGTGAATTTTGAGGCGACACAAATCTATAACAACCTCGTATTAACTGTGCGAACATGGGCAAGTCTCTAGCCTCTGTGGGTTTCAGTTCCCTCGTCTGTAAAATAGGGTGAAAACTTAATGCCTCCCTTAGAGAGTTTGAGGAAGGATTAAATTAGTTAATATATAGAAAGCACTTAGAACAGTGTTTGGCATAGAATAAGTGTTAAATAATGTTTGTTATTATTGCATATTTCTATTTAACTTAGTAAATAAGCAAGAAGTGCATA